TTCCTCAATATTCTCTTGCTTATACAATGTCTCATAATACTTCTGTATTATCTCTTTCTTTCCCTCATTTCCATTGTGACTCACACCTTGATCATCAATCAGCTATATTATCTTTTTCACTTCTCTCTCTTTTTTCAGTTTCTATGCCAACCATCTACCAGGTTTATTCGCATTTTCAAATAAATTTTGTTTGGCACTTCTAATTTTTTGAGCTAATTCTTCTTTTTCTGTCAACTCTATCTTGTGCTTAATAACCTCCATTTGTTTTTTGATGATCATTTTTTGTGGATATTTTTGCAATTCTTTCTCAAGTTTCCTGTATTCACCCTCTAATATCTGTTGATTCTGTCTTTTCTTAACATTTCTTCTTCTTGTATAATCTATAATCAAACCTCTAGTATAGGCCTTCATGGTGTCCCATAAGTTCTGCATTGAAGTTTCCTCCTTTTGATTCTCCTTAAAGAAGAACACCAATTCTTCTTCCATTTTCTGCAAGAATTCTTTTTCTTTCAAAATTACATTATTTAAAGCCCATCTTGATCTTTTCCTTTGTCCTTGCCATTTGACCCATATTGAGTTGTGGTCCGCTCAAGTACTTGCTTCAATATTAATTTCTTGTATATTAGAAATTATTTCCAATGACATCCAGATCATGCCAATTCTCGACCAAGATAAATGTCTATTAGAATAAAATGTATATTGTCTATCTTGAGATTTCATTTCTCTCCAAACGCTTCTATTCTTAAGTTCCTCCACCATCTTAAAAAAGGATTTTGGAAGTGTCTTTCTACTCTTTTTATTAAGTTTCTGTGTTTTATAGTCCATTTTTGTGTCTACTACAGCATTAAAATCTCCCAACATGCAAATATTATCATATTCCAATTCTGCTGTCTTCTCATGCAACTTTTTGTAAAATTCTTCTTGTTATTAATTTGGTGCATAAATTGCTACTAGAAGCATTTTCAAATTATTGTCCATTATTTCCACCATCAAGATTCTTCCTTCTTCATCTCGTATAGATTAATTTAGTCTTAATTGTATTCTTTATGTATAGTACCATTCCTCTTTTATTATGTTGAGCCAATGAGGTATATAAATCACCAATTCTTGGATACTTCAGCATTTGGATATGTTGTTGTTTGATGTGGACTTCTTGCAGGCAGACTATATCTAATTTTAATTTTTCTAATTTGTGGAGTATCTTTTTCCTTTTGATGGGTGAGTTTAATCCATTTATATTAATTGAAATCAATTTCTTTTCTTCCATTGTTTATGCTTTATATATAGGATGTATTACTCTCATTGATCTTTCTAGGTTCTCTAAGCTCCTCTCTTCCACTAACTGCTCCTTCTTCTTATAATATTTCATCTTTTTTCTTTATCTCTTAACTCCACTATCCCCCTTTGGGATTTATCTGTCTCCTCCTCTCGTTTTCTCTTCTCTTCTTTCCCTCTAAAGAATTCATCATAGAATAGTTCTGCCTTCTCTGTTGAATCTAATCTATGTCCTTGTTCTTGCCAGATAAAGGTTAAGCCTTCTGGTACCAGCCATCTATAGTTCACTTCTTTTTTAATTAATATTTTCATCAAGAATTGATATTCTCTTCTCAACTCTCTCACTTTCCTTGGTATTTGATTCAGAACTATTATCTCTTTCCCGTTGTATCTCAATGGGTCATCTCTGGCTCTCTGCAATATTTGCGTTTTAATTGCTTTCTTAGTGAACCTCACATGGACTTCTCTTGGTAATTTATTTCTCATAGCATATCTTGTGAATACTCAAAATACCTCATCTATACCATCCATCATTTCCTCTTCAGGTATCTCCAGGGCTCCTGCCAAGATTTCTGCCATTATTCCTGTTAAGTTTTCTCCCCTTTCTTCTTCAGTATTCTGGAATCTCAAGTTGAATTCAGCTCTCGATCTCCCAGCCCAGCATTCCTTTTTCCTTTTCCTGTTCCACCATTGTCAATCCACTATCTATTTCTCCAACTTTTTTATCAGTCTGGTCTCCATGTTGTTCTATTTTCTGAAATCTCTCTTCGTATTTCATCATTATTTGCTGAATATTCTCAACTCTCTCATCTGTTTTCGTTGTTCTCTCTTCTATTCTTTCCATCCTGTCTTCCAGACATTTACCTTGGTCTTGTATTAATTGCCCTATCATTTGTAGTGTCATCTCCATCCCCTTCTCCTTCTCCTTCTCCTTCTGCAGCGTAGCATGAAGGTTCTGCTAGGAATTTGGGCTTAGCGAAGAGGTTGATTTCTTCATCATTAATTAATAATTAATTAATATCCCAATCAAAAATGTTGCACAAAAAAGCTATCTTCAGGTTCTCCAAACCTTAATCCAATAAGCGAAGGTAATTAAAAAATAGTAAAAAAAATTCTCAAAGAAAAAAAGAAAAAATGCAAAAAAGAAAAAGGAGAAAAAAAATAAAACTAAGTCCGAGAGCCAAGGACTCAGGCCTGAAAAAAGAGATTTTTTTAAAAATAATCCAACAGCAAAACCAAAATCAAGCTGATAATTTAATAACTAAGAATTCCCAGTTGCAGACCAAAATAGGTCATAAAACAAATTACTTCCACCACACACTGTCGAAGTCCTAATATCTAATTTCAAATTGCAGTGCTATTCAGTGAGTGTATAGTCCAAGGTCACACCAATCTTGACTCTTTCAGTTTCAATCTCCAACTGCTAAAGTTATTTTCCAGGAGGAACACCTGTTAAAAACATTCATCCAGTGCTCTTCCCTTTATCTTAATAAAAACAACAGTTGAGTAGTAAAAACATTTCCCCAAAGTTTCCATAGGGATTTTTTTTAAAGGCTTCTGGGTGGCAATGTTGCTTAAAGTATTTAATTATCAGCACTTTTTAGTGTTATACAAAGAGAAAAAGAAAAGTCCTGGCCGATTAAAATAAAAAGTTTTCTTTTGGGGAGGATAAGAAAACTAACAAAAACACAAAAAGAATAATAATAATTGTAAGGTCTCTCTTTGAAATCAAATTTAAAAGTTGTATTATTTTAACAAAAGTCCAGGCCAGTTAGTTTAAGTTTCTTGTTAAAAATCAGTAAAAATCACTTAGATAGCACCAATTCTTCTGACTTCAGGTTTAATTTTGCTGCTTGTTCTTCTTCTGTCTTCAATATTCTTAAGTCTTTCCCTCCTACGGTGCTCTCTCTTAAAAAAAAAGAAATTTAAAAGTCTCACTAGAGCCGACACACTTTCCGTTCTTCTCTTCTGTTCCGGAGCTGTCCCATCCTTTCAGCAGCTTTAATGGCTGCTTCCTTCAGCAGCCGGTTTGAATGGCTTCGCCTGGATCAACCAGGGATTTTGCGATATCCCTGGGATCAGCAGGCTGCGCTCTTCTTGTTCACCGTCTCTACGGGACGATTTTGATCCAAATGGACCCCCCCAGCTGCGGTAGTATCGGTGCTGGTTCTGAAGCCCCAGAATCGTCATTTTGGCACATCAGCCCCTCCCCCCGCATACAGTTCTCAAAGGGTCACCACCTCCAATGCACAGTACATAAACTAAATAAACAAAACAAATAAATAATTATGCTGCATACATATCTTAGATACTTGATCATCAGATCATTCTGCCTTGCTCTTCATGGCCTCCTCGGCCTGGTGGTGAAGCTGAGGGATCATCTGGATGTAAAGTAGCCAGACGTGCGCCAACAAATTCAAAGACAGAGGAGAGCTGCCTGCTCTTCTTTGCACTCCTGAAGATGGCACCAAGCAGAAGAATGGAGTCTATTCTGACTGGGCAACATTTTAGTGAGTGCCAGTCAGTGAGTGGAGTTTCCCCTCCCTCCCCTCCTCCCGGAAATGGAGTCATAACTTTACAACCAGCAGGTGCTGCTCTGAGGACTGGGGCAGGCCAGGTTTCCCATAAGGTTTTGTAAGTTGTCATTTGTTTTACAAGCCAGTGGACAAGCTTTGCTACATTTGTCTAACAAGTTTGACCAGCAGTGGGTCAAAGCAATTTTCCCAAAGCAGAGTGGGAAACGAGCAATTTTCTTAGGCTGTTCTCTGAAATAAGTCATCACGTTAAACCATTATGGTTTCTTTGGAAGGACTTAGCATGCAATGGGACTCAGTTATTGTGCTTTTTTTCCCCAGGTTTAGATTTATATTGGCTCCGTAAATTATTTGGGAACTTATATGACTGGTTCTTGGGAACTATCCATGTATTGTACTGTATTGTGCTTCATGATACCTTAGAGCAGTGGTTCCCAACCTTTTTTTCGCCCCGCACCCCTAAAGACATTTCACTCGCACCTCACACCCCCTGAAATTTAGACTTTAGGAACCACTGAGCGTGTTAAATATATGGAAGGATTGAATCTTTTCAGCTATATATGTGATGGCCACTAAATAAGGATACTTTAAAATGAAAACAAAGTTAATCCATTGCATAATAAATAAATAAATAAATTAGATAGATAGATAGATAGATAGATAGATAGATAGATAGATAGATAGATAAAATGAATAAAATAAAAGAATAAAAGAATAAAATAAAAGAATAAATAAAATAAAATAAAAAAATAATAAAATAAAATAAAAATTACCTGGACTTTTCTCGCACCCCCTGGAATATCGTCTCGCACCTCCAGGGGGTGCGAGCACCCCAGGTTGGGAACCCCTGCTTTAGAGATAAGCAAATGCTAAAGAAATTTGAATTCCGTGTATGTACAATGGAACACGGTTGACTTTCAGTCTTGAGAAATGCCTGTTTCTTCTCCCGTGTGCACTTCATACCCTTCATATCCCACTCTGATCTTGCCTCCTGTCTATATGCTATATCGTAATAATAATATGTCGTTTGGCTCCCAATCCTTTAATCCCTGCTGCAAAAGTAAGCCTGCTGCGGTAGTTTGTTTGGTTTAGTGTGTGGCAGGTGGAAAGCCAGAGCTACTCCCCAGGAGAGCCTTGGCCCCGGGGCCAGGGGAATGAAGCCATGATGGTCTCATCTGCTGTTGTTTACAGGCAGGGGGGACCTCCAGCCTCAGCTGGACAATGCCCTGCAGGACGTGAATGACTTGTACCTCCTGCTGGAGGAGACGGAGAAGCAGGCAGTCCGCAGGGCCCTGGTGGAGGAACGGGGCCGGTTCTGCACCTTCATCGCATACCTGCAGCCAGTGGTGGTAGGTGCCTTTATTTCCAGAGTCGGTCGCAGCTTTTGTAGGGACTGGGCAACCGTCCAAGGGGTTCCCCTCCCTTTGCTTGGGCAGATCTTGGCTTTTAAGCCTTGGAACAAACCGTTGGCTCTCGTTGCCCACTTAAAATGCTGCTCTCAGTCCAGTTCTGCTTGTGCCTGCCCATGTCCAGTGTCCTGCTTTCAGGCATGCAGAGTATAGTCTCTGCAACAAAGAGAATTTATGTCCAGGGCATCATATTGAGCTACTCCCAGGAATGCCGGAAAGGATGAATTACCTTGCCAAACTTGGCACCCAGAATCTGAATGTGAAGAAGAGGAAGGTACCTTCTTGGCTGTGTGGGTACCAGGTACCAACCCAGAGGGTCCAGGTCTTTCTCTTTTGGTGGGAGTTGAGGTGGAGGAGCTGAGGTGGCTTTCCTAGACTGGCCTCTTTGGTTCATCCCAGAGTGGCATCCGAGGCAATGCGGAATTAGAGACGAAGTAGGAGGTTTCTTGAAAATTCCAATTAAGAATTGATCTCACCTTTTCCTTTGACTCCTTTGTCCAATTTTTTTTAACCTATGAGTTTTGGGATCAATATTTATTGCCTCGAAGATGCTCTGCAAGTTAAAACCTATGAGGTTTGGGGGCTTTCCCTTTTCCCCGTTGCTTTCCATGTTGAATTTGTCCTTGGGAGTCCTTCTGGCTGCTCTACCCTGCCAGCCATTCTGGGAGCAGCAGAGAGAGCCAAAGGGTGGCAGGTGGCAGCCAAATGAGCAGGCTGGGCCCACAAGGGGAGGGGGCTGCATAAGTGGGGGGGGCAGGTGTGTGTTGGCAGATCCTTATGTGCCTCCATTCTCCACATGGAGACTCGGGAATGGGCCAGGACAAGTTTCAGGAGGTCTTGGGAGACCCCTGCTCTTTGGGGCACCGAGGGGGACACAGTGTCTGGTGGTAGCAGCAGCCCCCCCCCAAATTCCAGATTCAAAACAAAATGGCATGCCTCTGTAAGACCCCTGCTGATGTGGCTCCAGTTCTCCTTTTCCCATCATCCTCTGACCTCCTAGAAGGTCCTGCTGGTCAGACCAGTGTTTCCTTTCTCTCAGGGTCCAGCTAGGCTGCCAGTCAACAGGACCCAACACCAGCCTCCTTTCCACTGTTGTTCTTGCATCACTGTGAGACCAGGTGCCCTCCCTCCAGAGATAAGACCGAATCTTTGGTTGAGCCCTCCTCCTCCTCCGTAAAAGTGTCCAGTCTCCTTGGAGGCCATCCCTTGGAGACGTTTGATGGCCCCTCTGGGTTGGGTCTCTGGGCACACAGACTTTGGGGTTAACAAGTCACAGGATTGGGCTGACCCGCCCTATCCCACCCAGAGAGGAACAGCAGTATTCAGAAGGAAGGAAAACCTTAGGCATCCAGGACGCAACCAAGGAAGGAGGCTGAAAACGTGCCCTCACTGGTTGAAGAACTTTGAGTCGAGACCAGGTTTGTGGCTGTTCTCCTAGCTGATGCTTCGCTTGGCCCAAGCAGACGAGGCAAAGGAGCATCCCCAGCTTTGGTGTTTGGCAGCTCACTCAGGAGAGCAATATTGGCACCTGTTGCGGCCTTTGGTGCCAGTCCCGTTTGCCATTAAGCTTTTTTGAAGGTTTGAATGTGAGCACAAACATTTAAGGTGTTTGTGGTTCTCCATAAGATTGCGTAGGCAAATACCCAAATTGCCCTTTTTGTCCACTGTTCTTAATTCTGAATTTTTTCATATTTGTTTTTGGACTAAAGGGAGGAAAGTTTGCCTGGAATGATGTTTTTTTTTTAAATTTAATTTCAGTAATGTAACTGTAATCCCAGCAGGTTTCACATGTATTAACCTGAATTACATTTCTAATTTTTGAAATTACACAAAACCTCAGCTGGCAGATCCAGCCCTTTGTGGCTTCTGCACTGTCCGTAGCATTGTGCAGCTGAAATGTAGTAGCAGAACTCAGAGGCTCAGTAGAGATCAGGAGCAAGCAGAAAATCAAATCCCACTACAACCACAACTATTACCTCAACTACAATCACAACTACAACCAAAAATAACCACCAAACCACAGCCACAAACAATTACTACCCCTTCAAATAATTCCACAAATAATATCTCCATACTCATCAGAGACACCATGGAACGTGAACAGAAACGTCCAAATGCCATCTTATTTGGTCTCCAACAAATCAGACGACATCACCAAAGTTTGAGATATCATAAGCAACTTAAATACAACAAACATCTCTCCTGAAGATATCATTGAAATAACTAGAGATGGCCCTGTGTGCAAATACAATGACGGCTCTGTGGCCCCAAGATTTTGTAGAGTTGTATGCAAAACTGAGTCCAGCAAACACATATTCATTCATACAATAAACGCCATTGCAAAAACCAATCCCAATCACAAAAAACTTCACTCAAGGCCAGACTTATCCATACTGCAAAGAATCCACTCCTGTGAACTCCACGAAGAACTCAAAAACCATCCAGACAATGGAGAAAAGGACCTATACATTGACTACTGAGCTGATTGCATCAAAAGAAAGTCACACAACCCACAACTCCGCATCCAACCCCACCCCATCCAATCCAACATCACTCAAAACTAGGCACGCATGCCCCTAACTACCTCTATTCCAACCACAACTGGCCTTAAATGCAAGGTACTCAATGCAAGAAGTCTTGTAAATAAAATACCTGAATTTCTCCTCTTACTAAATACGGCTAAATTGGACATTATATTTGTCTGTGAAACATGGCTCAATGCATCTCTCTCTGACTCCTTTCCACAGTAAGAGACTATCATGTTTACCGATCAGATTGTGAAATCTGTAGAGGAGGTGGTGGTGCTATCTTCTATAAAAAAAGTCCCTACATCTAAAAACATCCAAGTTACCCAGGAGCTTGCTATTCCTGAGATCATCGTCTGTGAACTGTCCTTAAATATCACATTTTGGTTCTTACTATGTTACAGAGCCCCTGATTATGACATCGAACATGCAAACAAGCTAAATATACTACTAACATGGGCAGCATCCTGCCCACACGCTTTTATCTTTCTTGGTGACTTCAATCTACCTCACATTAACTGGACCCTTAACGAATGTACAACTGAACCCACACAGGCACCCTTCTACAATGCAGTAACAAATCTGGGACTAGAACAACTAGTCACCAACAACACTAGACTTAACAACTGCCTCGATCTCATCTTCTGCAATAGTTTGAATTCAATTTACGGAATACAAATTAAAGAACCTGTTCTGTCCCACCTGTATCCACAGATGAAACTTCAAGTTATATAGTTCAAATACTTTACATAAACTAAACCAGAGGCAGAAGATTCAATTGCTCTGTTATCACAGTCCTTTGGCAATCCTCCTAGAATCTGTCCGGCAATTCTGTAAAGTTCGTAACTCACAACGCAGTAAATCAGACGCAAGTCTTTCCAAGGCAAAGATTCCAGCAAAGATTTCAAAGTCATGCACTCCCTTATATCCTGTAAGAAAGAGTGTGTCAGTCTCATTAATTAATCCTTTGCTGGACGTCTCTTTTCTAATTGAGATTGACGTCTCAATCTTCTCCTAGTTCTGGCATCCAGCCAGCATCCGGCAGTTTCATCACAGCTTGAATCCTCTGATACACTTTCCTGGTTAACAGTTAACACCTGAGGTTTAATTAGGGAAGTAGTTTCAGGGGAGAGAGTGGCCTCTGAATCTTCCAATAAATCAGGCTCATATCTTGAATCCAACTCCTCTCCCACTACCTGACTCCCCTCCAAGTCACTTAATAATGCAGGCTCAAATTTCAGTGCCAGATCGTCTTCCTCACTCGAACTCACATCTGCTGACTGATCAGGTTCAAGTCTCGGAGTCACAACAGAACCCTTTTCCAACAGTGACTACAACATGATTGACTTTTGTCTCAACATACGTCCAAACAAAAATCATCACAATGACGGAATCCCCAATTATAACTTCAAAAAAGGCAACTATGATCTTATAAACAACAATCTCTCATCCCTTGATTGGCAATTTCTATTCACTGGATGCAATACTGTAGAAGACCATTACAACATATTTTTACTTGAAGTCAAAAGAGTCATCAACTAGACCAATCTCTTTATGCTGCGTCACCTGTAAAGTCATGGAATCAATTATTAACCAATCCATCATCTCCCACTTAGAAACAAACAACCTGCTCTCTTATAAACAATTTGGTTTCAAAACTATCCTGTAATCTGCAACTCTTACACTGCAAAAACATATGGACTACACAACTCGATCAGGTCAAAGCAATAGACGCAATCTACATAGACTTCTGTAAAGCCTTTGATTCAGTGGTACACAACAAACTGCTCCTAAAACTAAAATCTTACGGTATCTCTGGCATTACTGGATAGAAGCATTCCTGTCAAACAGACAACAAATGGTCAAAATTGGGAGCGTCCTATCAAATTCTGTACCTGTCAACAGTGGCGTCTCCCAAGGCAGAGTTCTAGGACCAACTCTCTTCATACTCTACATAAATGACCTCTGTGATCATATCAAGAGCAACTGCGTTCTCTTCGCAGATGATGTAAAGCTATTCAACACCACCAACAATACTGCTACCCTTCAAAAAGACCTTGACTATGTATCAGAATGGTCAAACAAATGGCAACTTCAAATCTCAACAAATAAATGCTCTGTCCTACATATTGGCAAAAAAAATCAGAAAATAAAATACAGGCTGAATAGTCAAGACCTTGTTGATGATCCAAACTCTGTCAAGGATCTTGGAGTACTCATCTCTAATGACCTAAGTGCTAGAGCCCACTGTAACTACATAGCCAAAAAGGCATTAAGAGTTGTTAACCTAATCTTACGTAGCTTTTTCTCTGGTAATATTACACTAATAACTACAAAACATTTGCTAGACCAATACTCGAATACAGCTCATCAGTCTGGAACCCACATTATGTATCTGATATTAACACAGTTGAGAAAGTCCAGAAATATTTTACAAGAAGAGTTCTCCACTCCTCTACTCGTTGCAGAATACCTTATGCCACCAGACTTGAAACTCTAGACCTAGAAAACCTAGAACTACACCGCCTTTGGTCCGATCTAAGTATAGTATATAAAATCATACATTGTAATGTCCTACCTGTCAATGAATACTTCAGCTTCAACCATAACAACACAAGAGCAAATAATAGATACAAACTCAAGGTTAACCACACCAAACTTGATTGCAGGAAATACGACTTCAACAACAGAGTGGTCAATATCTGGAATCCTCTACCTGACTCTGTGTTTTTTTCCCCAAACCCCAAAAACTTTAACCTTAGGCTGTCTACTATTGACCTCACCCCTTTTCTAAGAGGTCTGTATGGGGCGTACATAAGCGCACCAACGTGCCTACCGTCCCTGTCCCATTGTTTCTTTTTTCTTTTTTTTTCTTTTTCTTATATGTATCTATTTATTCATAACAACGTTTTTACTATTATCTTGTAAGCAATTGACAAAAAAAGAAGCTTGGAAGCCCCCAGATCAGATGAGAGGGTCAAAGGGTCACAGGAAACATCCTTGTCCTCAACCCACCTGGTGTTGCCTCTGCCAAAGAGAGGCTCCCTTTTGCTCCCTTTTACCGGACACTGTGGGTTCTGAAGCTGAAGTAGGCACATTGGGTGACAAGGCTTCAGGGACTGCGACCTTTCCTGGCCTAGAAAGTGGGGCTCACCTTGACCAGGGAAAGAGCAAGCTCTGGTGTGTTGGGGCTGATTCAGGGCTGTTGCCTGCACACGGCCAAGGCTGACTCTTTCCTTTACCCTGTTGCAGAACGGAGAGATCACCATGCTGGGAGAGATCACCCACCTTCAGGGCATCATTGATGACCTAGTGGTGCTGACAGCCGATCCACATAAACTGCCAACAGCCAGTGAGCAGGTAGGGAAGCCCAAGAGTCATGTCTCATGGTGGTCCATATGCCCCTTGCGTGGAAGGGGGATCGACACGGCGTTGCAGCCTCCGCTTTCCTCCAGAGTCGGTGACTTAAAACTCCGGACTGTGCCATGCTCTGCGCTCAGAGAACAGGTTCCAGTCCACTTTGAGGACTTAAAATACACCTGGGTCCCTCCCTTCCCCTCATGTCTTTACTCAGGACTGAAGTTCTGCAGGCAGCCTGAGCCACGAGGCCCAGATTGCCTGCAGAGCTGCCAGCATTGATGAGTTTCTGCTGGGCCAGGCAGGGATGTGGTCATAGCAAAGCAGAACGCCCACCCAGAGCCTGGTCACCTTCAACTACTCCCGAGAAAGAACAAGTTCAAACATGTGACTGTGTGACTCCACTGGGCTTTCCTGGGAGCCTTCCTGGACCCAGTTCCCCAGAGTGCAATCTTTTGAAATGACTTCTCCTGCCTTCACTTGCCTTTTGTGTTTGCCGATGGCTTAAACCATCAGACCCAGATCAAGAACCCTCCATGCTCGTAGCTTCTTTGAACAGAGGCAGGACTGTTATCCAGAATGGTGGTAATTTATGACCATTTAACAGTAGTATGAAGTTATGACGGCTTCTGAAAAAGTGACTCACGAGCCACCTTGAAGTTGTGACCATCCTGCCATCCCCTGTAGCCACAGGATTATCATTTCGGCCCTTGACAACCAGTTTACACTTAACGACGATTGCTGCAGTCCTGTGGTCCCAATGAGCGACGTTCCAGGCAGTTTCTGGCAAGCGAAGTCAATGAGGGGATCGAATTTGCTTATGACCATGTGATCCGCTTAACAATTGTGGTGAATCACTTAATAACCACAGTAAAAATGGTTGTAAAATTGGATCTGGTCATGTGATGACTTGCTTAATGACCACATTGCTTAGCAAGTGAAATTCTGGTCCCCACTGTGGTCATGAGTCAAGCGCCATAAGTGTGTGACTAATTGTAATAAAAACCAGTTTGGGCAAAAAGGGAGGGATGCTGATTAAAGGTGTGTCGCCTTTTAATATGTCACCTTCTAGGTCAGATAGGTGAGCCCTGGTGGCACAGTGCTCAGTCCTGCAGCACAGTCCTAAAGGCTACTTCTGCTCACCAGGCTCCAGGTCGACTCAGCCTTCCGTCCTTCCAAGGGGGGTTAGAATGAGGAGCCAGATGGTTGGGGGCAAGAGGCTGACTCTGTAAACCACTGAAAGAAGGCTGTGAACAGGGGTGGGATTCAAATTTTTTAACAACCGGTTCTGTGGGCGTGGCTCAGGTGGTGGGCATGGCTTGGTGGTCATGTTATTGGCTGGATGTGGCCAACTCAATATCACTCACATCGAGGCACGCATCTCCTCACCTGGCCTCTCATGGCTGTGGGGATGCTGCAACAGTCGTAAGTGTGAAAAACGGGCATAAGTCACTTTTTTCAGTGCCACTGTAACTTTGAATGGTCACTCCACACAAGCAAAGTACCAGCAAAGGAGGGGAAAAAACTCCAGAGAAGTTCCTGAGACAGGAAGTCTAGTCCTGCAAAGAATGTAATAAGGATTAACGGAGAGGCAGTTTCTGTGAGCAACACCAGAATGTTTTCTTCCTGCCTTCCTTACAGGATTAGGCCTGTAATTTCTTCTAACAACCGGTTCTCTGAACTGCTTAGAATGTTAACAACCGGTTCTAGCGAATAGGTGTGAACTGGTAGAATCCCACCCCTGGCTGTGAAGCACTATGAAGTGGTATATAAGTCTAAGGGCTATTGTTATTAAAAAAAATCAATATAATTTAATAAATACTAATAACCAGGAAGGCTGGTTGGGACCAAAGGAAAGTTAATGGTATCTTATCTAGCAAAAACCTCAGATCCAACTTAATGTCAACTGTCCCAGCCTGGTCAGTTAGAAAAGAAAGGCCCCTGGGCCACGATTAGCCCAAGGAATACTTTACTAAAGCCAAAGTGGTCAGAGAAGAGGCAGAGCAGGATCCGGGGTTTTCCCCCTGGTTATCAGTCAAGGTTCAGTCAGGTGTTTGGGAAACGGTGCCTGTCTTCTTGCACCAGCTCCGCATTTTTGGGGGTGCGACCTTGAGATGGCCAATGCTTCCCACTGGACGGTAGGGCTTTGTTTTGATTCCTGCCTCCCTACCCCCCACTGCTCCCTTCCCCTATTACTGACATCAGCCTGTTAGCTTGCAATGCGTAGCTTTGCAGAATGACAACCGTGTTCTTTTTTATGACAGGAAAAAAGGAACAAAATGACCAGATAAATAGCAATAGCACTTAGACTTATATGCACTTCATAGTGCTTTCCAGCCCTCTCTAAGCTGTTTACAGAGTCAGCACATTGCCCCTAACAATCTGGGTCCTCATCTTACTCACCTCGGAAGGATGGAAAGAATTGCAAAAGAACGAAGTGGAAGAACGAGTGATGACTTCCTTTTACCAATCCACTATAGAAAGCGTCCTGACATATTGCATGACGGTGTGGTATGCTGGCTTGACAGCCGCAAATAGAAAGACATTACAGAGGGTGGTGAGCACAGCACAAAACATCGTAGGCTGTTCCCTGATGCTACTACCTCGCTAGGTAGTAGTATGACCTCGCTAGGGCTCGCTGCCTTAGAAGAGTGAGGAAAATCCTCAGGGACGACTCACACCCATCAGGTAGGAGACATAGAAGCAGAGCCAGCTGCACCAACAGGCTGAAGAACAGTTTCTACCTGTGGGCTGTCAGACTCCTGAACGGAAAACACTTCATGTCAACATAGCATGATAGACTTGCGGGGCCGGTGCATTGGGCAATAAGTTCACATGATGCAATAAGATAGATAGTGTGTTTGTTAGTAGGATTCACTGGATTAGGGATTTTTCTTTTTTGTCTTCACTGTGAGTTGTGTTGGGGGGGATGCACGAAGGGAGGCTCAGCCAATCTCATTGTGCACATGTTGTACTCTGACAATATAGGTTGATTTGATTTGATGGAAGGCTGAGTCAGCCTGGAGCCTGGTGAGATTCGAACTGCCAAATTGCAGGCAGCCAGCAGGCAGCAGGAGGAGCCTGCAGTACCGCACTCTCACCACTGCGGCTCATCAATACAGCTGGTTTTGAAACAGTATTTCTGAAAAGAAGCTCAGAGCTGTCTGAATATGAATCCGCAGCAGAAGCGGAAGTACTCCAAAGGCTGAGTGCCACCTAAGGTTGCCTCCATAGAAAGCTACTCCTGAACGGAGAGCATCGTTGTCTTTGTCGTCGTCATCGCAGGTCAGTTCCAGGCTTTTGTGCTCTGGTCACACTTAAGGCGGCCAGGATTAATGCAGACGGCAGGCAACCAGAAAAGCAACCCGAGAAAAAGGTGCTGCTGAATCAATTCCAAGTGGGGCACCTCTTCCTTGGAGCCAAGGACCGAAGGGCCCCAACATTGGAGAGCAAAGGATGGGAATAGTTTAGGAAGCTAGACTGGGTCTCTGGGTGACTCTATGGGAGTTGTTGGTTGAGGGAAATTTTGCCGGAAGGCTTGTGTTATCCGGCCCCCAGTTCAGGAGTGGTGCCTGCAAGGAGCCACAGAGACAATCAGGCCGATGTCCACCCTATGTGCCTTGGGCTTTGCTTTAAGAAAGTCCTGGTGGAACAAGGAAGCTCTGACCCTTCACCGGCAGCGTCTTGGCTGCTGTCTGGGCGAATATGGCTTGGCCAAAGGCAGGCAGAGCCTCTCTTTGGTTTGGGTGGTTGCCTCTCGGACTCTGCTTGGATGGAAAAATCTCTTAGGGCCAGAAATGCCATAAGGACCTGGCTAAAATGACTTTTTCTTGCAGGTGATCCAAGATCTGAAGGGCTCTGATTACAGCTGGTCTTACCAAACCCCTCCGTCCTCCCCTAGCAGCTCAGGATCCCGCAAATCCAGCATGTGCAGTAGGTATGTTTGGGTCGGCTTTCTTTTTCCCCGTTAAGTCGGCTCAGAGCTTACGAAACTTGAATAGGTTCAACGATACCCCAAGTGTAACCACGTCTTGATGGCCAGAGTCCTTGTGACATACCAATTACTTCCCAAACTGAGTTGCCATGGAATAAAATCTAAGAGCACCAGGCCTGAGCAACTGTGGCCAACGTTGGCCTGAAATGGGAATGAACTTGAGCAACGGCAGTTCTCTCCGTCAGGTCAAGCAAAACATTGTCTTTGATGGTGGTGTAACATCTGTCAAATGAGAGTAGCTGGGAAAAGTTCTGCCCCAATCTTTAAGACATGTTGCTCTTGATCTCGCCCCAAAATTCTTCATATACATTAAAAGTGCTTCTGCCTTTAGCTGAGGAAAAAAAAATACATTAATTCGTGTAACCTGCAGCATAATAAGTCCCCGATCGGCCTACTTTATTAATCCCAGCTGAAGAGGAGAAGCTGGAAGGCTTGTTCATGGCGGAGGAGGTGCTCTTTTGTAGTCCTTGACTCAGTTTGTATTTGCTGCCTTCCCCCAGAGGTACTGTGCCAGCGTGAGCAGGGCATGTAAAGGACCGTTGGGCTTACCTTGCCTCGAGCAACCTCTGACTCCTGCAACCCTGGGGCTCCCTAGATGCACAGCATCTCACCTGTTTTCACATTTTACTCCCATAGTGTGGCACAACCTGCCAACACCCGCCTGTCCAGTGTCTCATCCCACGACTCGGGCTTCATCTCGCAGGATGCAATGTTCTCCAAGCCTCCTTCACCGATGCCCTTGGACATCACCAGCCAGGTGAGCTAAAGGTGAACAAAGAAGGAAGTCCAGGTCAGAATTATGGCTCCAGTGACCCCTCCCCATAAAGGCAGGCGAGTGCCGTCTCCTGAAAGAAGCTGGTTGCAGCCTGAGACCCCTCCTCTCCTGTGAGCGATTCAAGGTTCTCTCCTTCCCTTGGAAATGGGGATGGAGTGTGGTTTGTCCCTGATTTGCACTGGGTTGATTCCATTATGTCCCTCGGGAAAGGATTGGACCAGTTCCCTTTTGAGGAAGAAGGTGGGCAGTGAGGGAGTCAGGGACCCCGAGCCCCGAGAGGAGGAGCTGGAACCCTCTTTGGAGCCCCTTCTTGGACTGGAGGAAGGAGAAGACATCCCTGGCTCTCCTGGCCCAATTCAAGGGCTAACGCTGGCACGCCTCCAGCAGCTCTCAAAAGGTGACCCTGGCATGAGGACATCAGCCCAGGGTGGGTTGGGGGGGCTTCTGGCTTCAGAGGGCTCTCAGGATTCCTCTGGTGGCTCACAGTTTGGGAGCTGGAGGTCAAGAGGAGGGAAAATCCAGCTCTCAGGAGATCTCTGTCACTGCAGGTGGAAGGGGGGAGTTTCCCTCCCGCTCTCGATGGCCTGGTGAAGGTTTGGACTTCCTCCTCCTCCTCCTGTAGGAGAGTCTGTCCCCTTTCATTCCTGTCTCTGTCTTGTCCCGTCTCCTCCGTCCTCTTCCCACCCTCAGGACAGGCCAACCCCAATGAAATGCCCCGGGGTGGCATGCTGAGGGGAGCTGAGGGGAGCTGCTGCCACCCCACATGTCAGTCAAGCTGTAGTCTGTCTCCGCTGCTGCCTCCGCCGCTGCCGCTGCCTCCATCCTCCTGAGCCTCCCTAACCGCTTCTTCTCTCCTCTTTTGCTCCTGTTTGCTCCTGTTTTGCTGCTGCTGCTGCCGCTGCCGCTGCTCCTGCCACCGACCTCACTTGGGGCCTCCAGAAGTCCTCCAGCTCTGCATCGTCTGAAGCCTCTGAAACTTGCCAGTCTGTTAGTGAATGCAACTCCCCGACCTCGGTTACTTCTGGCTCTGCCAGTGGGCTGTATTTAGATGGCCAAAAGGTGAAGCTTGAGTCCACCCCCCCACCCCACATACTTTCTCTCCCCTATTTTATTTTGGGGCCCACCGGCACCTGGTAAAGAGTTGATGCATGGCACATTGAATGGCCTTGGCCTCCTGCCCCAAGGCTGGTTTGGTTGCTTTTGCTTCCTGTTGGCTGACCAGCTGAGGGAGCCCCATGACCAGCTTTGACCCTGGACTCCCTGGGCCTGAAGCCTTGTAGACTTCAACTGGCGGGGAGTCCACCCTACCCTTGGCAGAGTTAGCTCCTCCTGGGGCTTCCTTGACTTCCACGAGACCGAAACTCGGTCTCCATGAGGGCTTGGGATCCGGCCCATCTCTAGCAAGGTCATTCCCCCAGGAGGCCAGGGAAGAGCCTACCTGCCATGGGGAGGGTGCAGTCCCTGTCCAAGGACCCAGCAGGCACTTGCGTTGAGCAGACCTGCCCTGCCCTGGGAGGGACCAGTTCTCCTTCCTCGGTTGCCACCCCAGGAACTTGGCAGGGGGGAAAAAGGATATTTCCAGCCTGTCTGTCTTTAGAGCTGCTTCTGCCTTCAATCCAGCCACTCCGGAGTATTTCAAAGGGGAGTGAAAAAAGAAGGGAAATGGACTGTAGAACTAATCCACGACGGGACTGAACCCCAGTTACGCCACTGAATTTTTCCCTAATGTCTTCCTAGTGCGGGGAGGAGGGAATTGGCCAGGAAGAGTCAGCCACCCTGCCGTCCTGCTGTCCGAAGGGGACATCACTGGTTGTTGAGCATGTGCAGAGGGCCAGGCTCACTTGCCTGGAAGACCTTAGCTGTAGTCAAGGATGGCAGGAGGCCTTTGGCACTGGACATCGGGACCAGATCAGTCACCAAGTCTTCTGCGTGTCCCTCTTCCTCAGGGAGCAGCATCCCAGTGGTGACCTGGCCTAACACCCCCCCCCCGTGCAGGCTGTGCTCCATGCTGGGGCCTTGGGGGCTAGAGGCCATCCGTCTGCAGACCTCCAGGGAGCAGTTGGCTTATTGATTGTTTTATTACTCTTAAGAACCACCCGTCTCTCTCACAGAGGGACTCTGGATAGTGTACAACAAAAGATTAAAAGCATAAACACACCATATAAAATAACAGTATATAAAAGAGGCAAGGAATGTTTAAAAAAATAATGAAAAGGTGGCTTTTCCATGTGCTAACCAGCCCTACGGCTGTGGGCTCCCCTGAGCTTCAGGCCGCAGAGCCACGTTTTCTCTCCTTTCTGGAAGGCCAGCAGAGTTTGGAGGATATCCCACTCTGGCAGACGGGATCCACAGCATCCTTCCTCCTTGGCAGTTGGTCTCCCTGGATCTGGTCCGGCCTTCCAGGACCAGGTCCACTCCCACCTCTGAGGCCACCCTCAGCCCCCCCTTCCAGCCTTCCACTCTTGGCAGAGGAAGCTTGGCAGCCCTTCATGGGGATCGACTTCCAGCCCCTCACCGTCTTGGGGACCTTTTGCAAAGACGCCGGAAGTGCAGGGCCCTTTCCTAAATATTCAGGGGCCTCGGGAAAGGACTGGGAAACACGATGGAAACCGCCAAAGGCTGCCATGCCCTTCACAAACGCCTGGATTAAAGGGAGAATAAATCAGACACCTTTATTAAGCCACACACAAGGCCCCTGCTTATCCAGAACCGTTTGGGAGATTTCTGCTTTGCGGAACTGGGCAGAGTATCTGAGAGGGTGTTGTGGTTTGCCGGCAGCCTGTGCAGATGGCAGTGGAATCGGACAATGGGGAAGTCTGGGGAGGACTCGGATGAGGGTCCTGCATCCAATGCAGAGATGAGCTAGAACCATCTGGGAGTTATGTGCTGACTCTGGAGCCTCCGGAGTCTGGCAGCAGTGAGGCAGAGGAACGAGGGCAGCCTGTTTCCAGTGCGTGTATGTGCAGAGCTGTTAGAAGGCGAGAGCAGCTGAGACAAAAGGGGCGACTCGGGAGTAAGGCTGGGAGGTGATTGCCCCTCCCATAAGGTATAAAGAACAGGCAAAAAATGATGACACCTTCGCAGGAAGCAATGTCGTTCAGTTCAGATTCATTCGTGAAGCTCTTTGTACTTCAGTTGGGTTTTTTTCTAGTTCATTTGACACTTCTGTTATTGGCAGCACTTCACAGGGAAGAAAGGTGGGTGCTTATCTCGAGGGATTGCTTGAGATTCTTTACCAGCTGGGAATGAAAATTATTCCCAGCATTGCAATAAAACAAGACTAGTTTTTAAAATAAGCGTGTGCGTAATTACGGTCTGGGTCAGAACAGAGGGATGCTGTTCCAGGGGATGCCCAGGGCGCTGACGTAGCAGGGTGGTCCTGCCAACTTGGCTTCTGGGTGCCAGCATGGCCTCTTTGTGCCTTGATGGTGTCTCACAGGCTCAAGAGGTGCTTTGGCCCCCTCCCGTGGCCTCGCCAGTTCCCTTCCCCTCTTTCACAGCGCTGGGATTGCCAGTGAGGCCAGCTTTGTGTTTCAGGATTGGTCCAAGCTCCCCATCTATGAGCAGCCGGCGGGGGCAAGTGTTCTGCAGCGCAGAAAGGATCGTGTGGCAGAACCAGGCTCGGCCTCCCTGATTTATCCAGGGCTCAGCTTGGAAGACGGTCCCCGGCCTCGCCTGTCCCCCGCTTCCATTGCTGCCAAGGTATGGCTGGGCCCCAGGAAGCGCCCTTGGGCCACATCGGCTGGTCTGGGGGCTCATTTGGGGCTCTGTTTGGGCCACGGCCTGCCCAGCCGGTGATCCCAGATCCAGGAAGATTTGAGGCAGAGATCCCGTGCAGCTGGTTTTCCTTCTGGGTGTTTGGATAATTGCTCGCTTCCAGTTGACAAAACAGACAGTGGGAAGTTGAGGGAGACACTGGGGAGGGACCTGCCCCTTCAATGGGCCCAATTTGAAAGTGTTTGCCCAAGAGATTTTCCAAGGGGGAGGCCTCTGCCTTCCTCGTCAGCTGGGGCTGAAGCAAGTTGCTCTCTGCAGAAGAGAGGCTGGGCAAAGGGGTCCCCCATTCAATCCTGGTCCCCAGATAAAAGATCCCAGAATAAATGCAGCCTTCTGAACCTGGCACCTATTCCTGAAGCTGTGTTGGTGCAGAAGTAGCCAAGGAACTGGTGTGTGTGTGTGTGTGTGTGTGTGTGTGTGTGAGTGATGAGAATTGTGCTTGTCTTTCTGGCTCCCAGTCCCACCTCAGGAGCCTTGCTGACTGCAGCCCCCTCCTCCCTGCTCCCAGGCAAGGTGCCCAGGTGGAACCAGAGTGGAAGCAATGCTGGCCTCCGTTCGTTCCTTCGGAGGTCCATCTGCCTGAGCACAGGAGCCCTGCTTAGAGCTGGTGGGGGGGCCTTGGGACGCTGCTCTCTCTCCCCCCCTCCCCCGCCCATCTCCCTCCAAGAGGGGCCACTTTGCCCGAGGCACTGACCCTCTTTCCCTTCTCACCAGCACGGGGAGGAGGTGTCGCCAGCAGCCAGTGACCTGGCCATGGTGCTGACCCACGGCCTGAGCCTGGAGCACCAGAAGAGCAGCCGGGATAGCCTGCAGTTCTCCAGCGGCTACAGCACACAGAACACCACTCCATCCTGCTCTGAGGACACCATTCCCTCTCAAGGTAGCAGGCCGGCACCTGGCTGGGCGGGTAGGGTGTATGGCCAGGCCTCCCCAAGCCACTTCAGGCAATGGCAGATCCCTCATAGCCAGAAAACGGTCCTCCTCTGGAGAGGAAGCCCAGGAAGGCCAAGAGGCAGAAGCAGCTGCTCTCAGCCAGGCAGGACCTTCCTTGGCCTTCCAGGAGCCCCACATCGCTTGGCGTGGCACACCTGTCCTCAGCAACCCCCGTTGCTGGCTGAAGGCCTCTCCCAGTTCTCCGTTTCTCCCAACAGTGGAAAGAAGCTCCAGGCACCTGGGTGTCGTTGATGTTAAATGTGCTCTGCGCTTTGACTTAGAAGGTTGCAGGCCAAGTCATGACGGCCTCGGTGTGCCCCACCCCATTATGTGCCTGGCCTTATGTAGCCACATGCGCTTGAGGCAGCTTTGTGCTGAGGTGGATTCTGACTCAGGCCCGGCTGGCGAGGGGATGGCCCCCCACCTGCTCTGCCTCAGTGACCAACTCCAGAGAGGCTCAAACTGCTTCTGTTAGCTTTGCCCACCGTACAAATAAACCGCAATGCAAGTGGCTCTGCCTACGCCCCTCCCCCCATGCCCCTAGGAATTAGGGGGGATCTCTGCCTGTGCCGCTCTCCCCTCCTCCTTGTTTTGCGCTGGAGCCAAGTTTTGGTCATGGCCCGTTTCTGCCAAGGCCGTCCTCTTACCCGTGGTCCTTTGCTGGTCCCTGCTGCTGATGTGTCTGCCTGTCCCTTCCTCAGGTTCAGAGTACGACTGCTATTCAGTGAACGGGGACATCGAGGGAGACAACCAGAACGAATTAGACAAATCCTCTACCATCCCTCGCAACAGCAATATTGCTCAAAATTACCGGCGGATGATCCAGACCAAGCGACCAGCTTCAACGGCCGGTCTGCCCATTGGCACCACCTTGCCAACTGGGACGACGCCAGGTGTGGCTACCATCCGTCGCACCCCTTCCACCAAGCCCACAGTTCGTCGAACCGTCTCCAGCGCCGGTCCAATTCCCATCAGACCCCCCATCGTCCCTGTCAAGACCCCCACCGTGCCTGACTCACCCAGTCATGCCAGCCCCCTCCGGATGGGCAGCGAGGAATGTGTCTTCTACACCGATGATGCCTGCTCGCCGCATGGCCTGGACTTCGCCAAAGCCTCCCCCAAGAGGCTGAGCCTGCCCAACGCCAGCTGGGGTGGCAATGCCCTGGAGGTCTCCATGCATGCCGGGACCGGGAAGCCTTCCACAGAAGAGGAGCAGCAGCTGGCCGCCAACCGCCATAGCCTGGTGGAAAAGATTGGCGAACTGGTGGCCAGCGCTCACGCTCTGGGAGATGGCCAGTTCCCTTTCCCCACAGTGTTCTCGGACCCTGGTCCTGAGGAGCAGACCCCCACCCTCCCCCCGGCCGCTTCCAGCGAGCCCCCCGCTGAAGACATGCTGGTAGCCATCCGCCGTGGGGTGCGTCTTCGTCGAACCATCACCAACGATAGGTCAGCGCCACGGTTTTTGTGATCGCTCTGCTGAGCTGTTGACCCGAACTTGGCAAAGGACTGGGAAACGTAATGGAGGCTGGGAGAACTGCCGAAAGGCTGCCGTGCCCTTCACGGACACCTGGTCAGGATCTGGGTTAGAAGGAGACTGAATGAAATGCCTTTATTAGACCACCACACCCAAGGCCCCGCTTATCAAAACCCGCTTTGGGACCTGTTTTCCACCTTGTCCCTTGCGCTCTTTCTCTCTGCCCTCATCCGCAGCCAGGTGGGAAAGTGGCACCTGCCTCCCACCCAGCTTGGAGCAGCAGCAGCAGAGGAACCCCCACCCCAAACAGACCCTCCTGTCCTGTTCTCTGGCTCTTCTCTGCATTCTCCTGCCCGGCAATTGGCTCCTCCAAAAGATCTGCAAGGCAGGAGGAGGAGTCTAGCAATCCACCCCGCTCCTGAGATGTGGGCTGTGGGCCATACGGGGAGCAGGACCCCTTCCTGGGGGCTCCTAGAGGAGGAGACTTTCCCTTCCAGGTGAGGGGGTGAGGCTGTCTCAGCCAGGAGGGGCTTCCTTAAGAAGGGTTGCCTTCTTCCTCGCCCAGCCCAGGCCCCTGAAGCCTGCCTTGCGCCTCACAGAGCTTAGAGACCCCCCTGGGGCAGGACAGGGGGGCTTTTGACACATGATTTAGAGCACAGTTTGCATGGAGGCGCCTGGGCACATTGACACCCCGGAGCCTTTCCTATGGCAGAATGCAAGAATGCCTATCGAGACAGATGGCGGAGGGTGGAGATCAGGCCAGGTTCAGACGTGGGGAGGATTCTACCTCAAGTGGGTGTGGGCTTTGCAGCCCTTCCCTGAAGGCGGGAGGAGTTCCGGTGGGGGAGCAATGCCAGGGTGGGCATCTTGAACACGGCACTTGCCTCAAACCATCTAAAGGCCCCAGTGTCTCCTGGATCAGGGGTGGGGGTGGCTTTAAAGGCGGCTGATCTAAGGGGGTAGCTGCCCTTGGGCAGGTTCCTCTCTTCGGGCCAAACTCTTGACCGACTGAAGAAAAGGGGGGTCAGGAGATGCTCCTCTGGTTGATGCTTTGGGGGGGGGGAGTCGTTTGAACCCAGCAAACACCCTCAGCTCTGCGCCCACACGATTGGTCTGGCAGATCACCGTGACTGATGCCTTTGGTTTGACATGCTGGTGCTGGCTGGGCTCGCATGCTCCACGAAGCCAGTCTTGGTTGGCTTGATTTCAGCTCCACATGAGGGGCAAGGGCCGTTCACGTGGCCAGACTCCCGTGGAAGAGCACAAGCGATGCTGAAGCTGCACCAGGAAGGGGGAGAATGGCCGAAACACACAAGAAAGTCCTGAAGAGGGACTTTTGGGAGCAGCTCTTCTCTCTCCTTTTGGGAAGCCCACGGCAATTCCATGGTGGGATGGTTTTGACGCCTAAGGACGGAAGCCGTGAGGTGAGCCGTGGCCCAGACTTGCTTCGCTTCGCTCTGGTGGCCTGAGCCACTGACCTGCCTTGGAGTGAGAGCCCAGGTGCTCCGTCACAGCTCTCCTTGGCCTCTGCCTGCGCCGGGGCTGCTTCCGTGGCAGCTATGCCTCCTGCCTGTCTTGCCTCGCTCACTTCTCCACCTTGTTCATTCTTGTCTCACCAAACTCTTCTGCACTTTCATCCCCAGCATGTTTTGCGTCAAAGAGGCTTGCCTCATTGTATAGTCCTGACCAGTTTTGTTTACTGCCTATTTTTGTAGTTGGCAGGAAGGTTTTTAATGGGGATGTTGGCAGAAATGATGCCAAACGTAGCCATGATGCATTTATTCACAGCTGGCACGCGATGCAGCTTTTCCATGGTCTGGATCCAGCTCTAAAGAGATGTGATTCTAATATGGTGATCTTCACTTCTCCCTGAAACTAGAAATTAGTCTCTGTTGGCAAAAGGAAAGTGATGGTGGGAAAGAGGAGAGGGTTTTGAAAAGTTGCAGCGTGGAGGAGCAGAAAGTAAACGGCAGAGAGACATGAAGGTGACTAGAGAAACCTGCCTTTCCCTGGGCAGAGCTAGGAAGGGGAACTGTTGCAACCCTGCTCATCCTCCCGTTTTTAGTTGCAGAGAGATTTGGCATGTCTGGTACATGTGGCATCCAGAGGTGCACATGTGGCACGAGAATGAAGCAGAGAAAGCAACAATGAAACTGAATGTTTGCTGCTGTTGCACCAGTAAGAATTCCAGTATGTGCACCAGTGGGGGGGGGGGGGGAGTATATTTAGGAAACTTGAATTATTTCCAAGAGGCACACATCGAATTTAAGCATAGAAGTGGAAAATGTAGGGTAGGTTTTAGGGCACCGATTTTCCCAACCTGGTGTTGGGACTTCCAGTTTACACCTCTGGAGAACATGAAGTCCGACAAGGCCCTGTTCCGAGGGACAAAGAGCTTAGGGTACGAGAGGTTCTGCAGTGGGCTCAGAAGGGCTGGGGGCTTCCTTGGCAATGGAGAGGCAGCCTGCCCCGTCCCCCCGCCCCGCAGGCCTTTTGAGGGGGCAGCATGGTGGCTCCAGCATCCCAAGAGGAAGGCCTCACTTGTACATAGCCCTTTCCTCCCCACCCGGTTCTACCCGTGTCTCTGTGTGCCACGTCACTGTAGGCCCCTCACTCTTCGGCTCCTGTGATAACTTTCGTTTTAACACGCCAGCCTTCCCACCCCCCTCAAACGTGACTATGTGAGACTGTTGCTTTTTGCTTTTCCAATTTGTTTGTACAATAAGAAACAAACCTAAAATGTCTTTCAGCTGATGTAACTGTCCTGGTGCCGTTAACTTGTTCTTCCTTCCCATCCCATAATTTATTTTCCTTCTAGCAGTCCGAGCTTACATACGCCCTTCCTTCCAATTTAGTTATGTGATTTTTTTTTCATTCAAAATAACCACCATTACAGGTAACAAATGCACTGTGAAGATTTCAGTATTAATAAAAGTTGTACTGTAATTAATGCAAATCGTTCCTCCTCTTTATTCTGCCCTTTCCGATTGAAAAAAACAACTGTAGTTTAGCAGTTTCTTCAACCCCACAATTACCAAGCCAAACTCATCTCTACACTTTGTAGCATGGCAGATTCTTAGCTGGCTGGACAGAACTGCCTTCAACCCCAATTGATACGGGGCATTGGATGATTGTGGCTGGGCCTACATCCAGAATGGGAGCCTTGCGGTGAAGTTACCCAAAGCATTTGTGTGACAAATGGGAGGGCATATAGTCCAGTTTGTTGGCCAGGCCATCTCTGCAGCACGGATCATTTCAGGACCCGTTGTGCTGTTGCGCTGGGCTGAAGCTATCTAGTCTGGAATAGATCTATATCTATTTCCTGCCTGAGCAGGGGGTTGGACTAGATGATCTCCAAGGTCCCTTGTTATGATGTGTTAAATACATGTGATTTTATATCATATGTGAGTTTGTATCATCAGAAAAAAAGGAATCCCTTCAGTCCTCAGGCCCATTTTGGTTCTGAGACTACACAAATTTCATTCTCTCCCAGCTATTCCTGCAATTCTAACCACTGAATTCCAGGCATGTCGATGGCCGGAAGAACTGCCTTCCTCTCCCAACAACTGCTGGGGGGCGGGGGGTGGGGAGGAGAGGAAAGACAGCCCTACACCTTTGGCTGCTGGGGAGAGTGGAATGACACCTCCTCCTGGTGCTCTACTCGACTTTCACAAGCAGAAATTGGGTTGGGCTCCGGAAGATTTTCCTATCTTCCACACAATTGTAGTTCCAGTTGAGGACTGCTTGTACTAGACTAGACCCTTCACCTCTCTCCTGCCTTACAACTTGCACAAGCACTTTGCAATCTGTATACTTAACAGAGTAGCTTGAAAACCAAAGGATTAGGGTGTTGGGCTGAAAGCCAAATGGTGCACGGCAGCAGGAAAAGGCACAGAGACACCCCTGCCCTCATTTCATTTTCCAATCTGAAGCACTGCACAACTCTTACTTTTTAAAGGTCTAGAAAATGCCTAGGAGCAGCCATCCTATAGGAGAGCCAATACACATCAGGGGAGTAATTCGGCTTAGTCCGTTAGCAGAAATGAAGGCCTGAAGAAACCCTTTGTGTCGTTTCAGGTCAAAGCATGGATTTGGACATCAAAATGTCTCTTAGCTATGAAAAAAAAAATAAGGTTGAAATGCAACCCATCCCCACAAAGGATGGATCGCCCCCACTAGCTCTGCCAGAGAAAGATTTCCTTAAATCCATGCACACACACACACACACACTCTAGCAAGCTCCTTTTTTAATTCTTTTAAGATTGTAATCACCATCTTTCTAATGGGCAAAATACTAATTTGATGCAAAACTATTTACAACATAAAAGTTAAAAACAATAGAAATAGTAGGGTGGCCAAGTAGACAAAACTTCGGAAATGCTGGTTAGGAAGAAAATCAGTTCTAGCTTCCAGCCCCCAACACTCCCCGTGGCTTTGTCAGAATGGAGACGAGAACTGCAGGATGAGACCAACCAGGTCAGCTCACTGTGAAGCTACCGATGGCCCACTGGCCGGGATTTGGGGTGGGGGTTGTGGCATGGCAGCTCTGCTGAAATGGGCTTATAAGACATTATCCCTTGGAGGGCTCAATCTCTGTGGGCTGACCTACTGAGCCCCAGGATAGAAACAGGGTCAAGCAAAACGGGACAGGCAAGGAAGTTTCTTTCAACCCATCTCCAAAATAAGTCCTTATCAAATCCTCCAAGAGCTCAGCTCAGAAAGCATAGCGCGTACGGATGTCCTCTAGTTTCTTTGAGACTTCTGGAGGAGTCCGGTCCAGTTCTTCAGACACATTCTTCTGCTTGTTGGGCTCCATGGAGTTGAATTGCTCACAGAGGTCCCCATCAATAACATTCTAATAGGAAAAAGAAGGCGGAGATTTCAGTCCCAAGGAACATACAAGAACAGTTGCAGCAAAAAGTCAATTAACAACCAGGATGGGCACAACAGATGCCCAATTATTGGATTACCCAACAGCCAATTTTTAAACTGAACTCACTTTTAAAAAACGAATCCAATCTATTTCAAAAGAAAAGCTGTCACTAGACCGCGATCCCAACTCTCCCGGCCACCAGGTGCCTCATGATCAGGGCTGAGCCCACCCAAAATCTCGCTGCTGTTGTCACAAGGGAGCCCAGGAGAGATCTGCATGGCTGACCCAGGAATAGCTCCCCCCTCTGGGAAGGCAAGACAAGGCATCTAAACCAGAGGGCCCAACCCAGGCGGAGAAGCTCTCAGAGACGAGGGTGGAAAAAATCCTGCCTGCTCCCTGGAGCACACGAAGCACCTCAACCAGGACAAGGGACAGAGGCGCCTCCTTTCTCTCCTGCCTCACCGGGCATCTCTTGACCACCCAAACCTCCCGGGGCAGGGAGGAAAGTTATTGATTTGCTTCCTCTAAACATTTTTAAATTGACAAGGTCAAGGGTAGTGCACAATTAAAACATTCCATTTCATCAAATTGTCTTAACATTTAAAATATATTAAAGATCGTGCAATATTCACCGCCAGGTTACAAAGGATGGGGGGGGGCCTCCAGGAGGAGGCCACTATCTGAGAGGCTCTGCCCCCTTCAGGGCCCGCCTGTCTGTCCAAAGGAAGGGCAGGGAACCAGAAGGGATGGCACGGGATGCTGCTCAGGAAGCCACGGTCGTTACTTCAAGCTGCCTTGGAGCAACAGCTCTGTCCGAAGAGGCAGAGCAACACCTGTCCTGCAGCAGAGGGACGAGGCGGAAGAGGGCGGACCTACCTTCACGGGGAAGTAATAGGAGCGGAAGCTGAGGTGGTCTCGACCACAGAGAGGCGGGTGCTCAGAGCGGAGGTGCATCTCAACATGTTGGAAGAAATCGTGATCCTGAAAGAATCCGAGGATGGTCAAGGAGAACAACATCACTGGACACACAGCAGAGAGAGCACAGCTGCTCAACTCTGCAAGAAGGAAGTAGCTGGCCGAGACTGGATGCAAGGGCAACACAGCTGCGGCAGCTGCCATCCCCACTGACTGCCAGGGTTGATTCACATATCTGGCTGGCTGGGGAGGGTCCTCTTCTACCTTCCCTGTTCCAAGTGTATCCTCCCCAAAGCTTTGTGTTCGCTGGAAGCAGACAACCATTACAGATAGGGGTGTACCATTTTTAGGTCAAGCTGACCAAACAAGCTGAAGCTTCAACTGTAGAAAGGTTGATAGAACGGCTACATCATGGCCCAGTCTGTATGCGATCCCCCTTGGGGTCAGGCACAGACTGGACTCAGGCAGCCCTGTGATTTATGCTTAGTGTTGAGGGACTGCAAGAGGCCTGAGCAACCTCAGGGGGTCACTCTGGATGGACCCCAACTTTCACTTTGAGTTTTATGTGCGTATTTGTAAGTCAAGATGGCTGGAACATGGGTCAGCAAAAACTCCATGGTGCTACTTATGTGCCATTTCTTCCAGTAACTTTGGCCCTGACGGGAGTCCAACAACAGCCAACCTGAAGAGTTTACAATGGAGTGAGTAACCCACCTGCAGAGGAGTGGCGGGCTCCTGAACAAGGCTCAACTCCCAGTCTTTTGTAACTCAAGCGCCTGTCTGTCAAGCGCCATCATCAACCCAGAGGACAAAGCGAACAAACCCTTCCAGCACAGCCTTCATCTCTCACCTCGTGCGATGTAAACGGAACCAGGATGCCGATGCCTCCAGACAACGTTGTATAAACCAGGGACTCGGAACCTCCAGGGATCAGGGTCGTCTTCTGCAGAGACAGCACGGTTTCTCCTACGTGGTAGTTCATGATCACCTCAGCCTGGAAGTCAGATTGACAGGGATTCAGACAATGCTCCTCCCCCCACCCCCTTGC